TCCGCGCGCGCAGGGGCGGTTAGCTGGGGCGGAAGGAGAGAGAATAAAGGTGAACCGCGCGCCCCCAGCCTTTGGAGTGGGGAGGGGCAGCGCGGGCGCTCACGCGCGCCAAGGACTTAGGGCCTCTGGTTCTCTAACAGCGGTGGAGGCTGCCGGCCGCGGTCGCTCCACAATGAGCGTGTGAAGCTGTGGGGGAGGAGCCGCGGCGGCCGACAGGAAGGAAGAGCCGGCTGCCCCGCCCACGCCGCTGGCGTAGCGTTGAGATGCCTCCGCAGGCTGTGAGCTGTCACGACGTAGCGTGTAGTTCTTCCGCCATTTGTGGCCCCGTGGGCGGGGTCAAAGTGCAAAAAAAAAATCCAGGGACGAGACAAGCTGCTGTTCTTTGGTGGTTGGTCGGTTTCATGAGGAGCTACTTCCGGCCTTATCTGCTTAAAAAAAAAGAAAAAAGATGGGCTTTAAATTTATCAGCTTGAGCACGCCGATCTTTGCAGATAAATCTATGCCTAATGCTAAATAAGTGTAAACTTCAATGATTTTAAACCTAAATGGTTTGTTTCTCCAAGCCCTGGAATGAACCCTTAAACCAGTGGTTCTCAACCTTCTGACCCTTTAAATACAGTTCCTCATGTTGTGACCCAACCATAAAATTATTTTCATTGCTACTTCATAACTGTCATGTTGCTACTGTTATGAATCGTAATGTAAATATCTGATATGCAGGATGGTCTTAGGCGAACCCTGTGAAAGGGTCGTTCGACTGCCAAAGGGGTCGCGACCCACAGGTTGAGAACCGCTGCAAACTGTAATAATAGACTGCTCTGAAGGCCCAAGTTCCCAGGGTCTAGTTCAAAATGCTGCATGCACCTCACTGCAGTGAAGACAGCCTTCATTCGTTTAAAATTAGTTAGGCACTGGGACGTTAGGCTAGGTGCTCTGTATGCAACTGTAATTAAACCCACTTTCTGCCCTCAGAGTTCAAACTAGTGGTAGATTCAGACAATTCAATGACAATAGATGAAGCGCAGGACACTCTGAAAGCAGATAGGAGTAACACCTAATCAAGTGTTGGGTAATGGATCTCCAGGCAGAGGGAATAGGATGGGTCGAGCTAAGAAAACACAAAGCGGGAGGAAATTAAAAAACAACAACACAAAAACTGGAGAGGTAAGCAACCTGGGACCAGATTTTTAAGAGAGACATTAACCTTAAAGCAGCCTTTTACATAAAATTAAGAGATCAGATTTGTATTTTTAAAGGGTTACTCGTGGCAATGGATCAATGTTTCTCCCCTCCCTTTCTCTAAAAATCAATAAGAATAAGCCCTGACTGGTGTACTCAGTGGTTAGAGCGTCTGCCTGAGCACCGAAGAGTTCACAGGTTCGATTCTGGTCAAGGGCATGTACCTGGGTTGCAGTTTCAATCTGGGGTGGAGGGGTGGGATGTGGGGAGGCAACCAATCCATGTGTCTCACATCAGTGTTTGTTTCTCTTTCTCTTCCTCCCTCTGTCCTTCCCTCCCTCCCACCCTCCCACTCTCTAAAAAAAATCAATGGAAAAAATATCCTCAGGTGAGGATTAATAAAATCAAGGATTACTCATTGCTATGTGGAGAATGGGAGATGGGTCTGTGGTCTTAGTCCCAGGGAAACTTTTAATATCTCAGTCTTTCACTCCTGGCATTAGCACGGGAACGCTTCTCCAACCCTCTCCTCCAAACACCCACACACCTAGATAAAAATCTGCCTTACTCTTTGGGGAGTATTCCTTCACTCGGCCTCACTCCTAGCTTCAAGTGTGTTAGTCTCTCTTCCTGTGTGTTTGCCCAGCAATTTGCCCCACTTTATCTAAGAGTTCCTTGAATTCTGTCTTCTTACTCATACTGTTCCTTCTGCAGGACCTGGCAATGCAGGCCGTCAATTACACACTTGTGAAGTGAATGGGTCCCAGTGGTATTTTAAAGACCATGTCTCCTGGATGTCTGACTAACACAGTCCAGCTTTTTCCTGGGATTAACTGGATCACCTGGTGCCATGCCACCTCTCCAGCCTCCTTATGGGCACCTCTGTCTCCCCCTTCTACATCCTGCTTCCACACTCAAATTTTAAGTTTTAGCCCCATTAAACTTCCATTTCCAACATGCCTTGCCCTCACTCAACTCTGCCTCTGCACGTGCTGCTTCTTCACCTACTTTCTCATTCTTCAAGCTTAGGTGTCAGTCCTTTGGGGCATCCTGCCATTGGCTCCCTGCTCCAGGCTCTCTGAACACTGATGGTTTTTATGTGCTCTCCTTTCTATTGGAGGCTAACGTCATTAAAGGACTGTTTTACTCATTTCCCTCTCTGTGTCTAGCTCAGTGGCTGGTAAACAGTCATTCAGCTGGTAAGTGAATGAAATGTTTTACTGTATGTAATTTAGAAATTATATCACTGATTTGGTATGGAGTAATTTTCCATGATATATTGTTAAGTGAAGAAAGCAAAATTCAAAGAGTATAAACTATGCTGCCTTTTTATGCAAGGAAGAAGGGGAAATAAGAAAACAAATGTGTAATGAACAACATAAACTGATGAACAAAAATAGAGCCAGAGTCAGAAGCATTGAACAGACCGTCCAACCTAAGAGGGAAGGCAGGGGGAGGGTGGGGGGGCGTTAAGAGATCAACCAAAGGACTTGTATGCATGCATATGAGCATAACCAATGGACACAGACAGTAGGGGGGTGAGGGTATGTGCTGGGGGGTGGGAGCAGCTGGGGAGAGGTCAATGGGGGAAAAGGGAGACTTATCTAATACTTTAAACAATAAAGAATTTTTTAAAAAGAAAGAAAAATGTGTGGCCTGGCTGGAGTAGCTCAGTTGTGTGAATATTGTGCTGTGCACCAAAAGGTTGTCAGTTCACTTCCCAGTCAGGGCACATACCTGGGTTTTGCGTTCAATCCCTGGTCAGGGCACATATAGAAGGCAACCAATCCATGTTTCCCTCTCCCATCTCCTAAGCATGTCCTCAGGTGAGGATTAAAAAAAAAAATGAAATGTGTCTGCAAATTTTTGCAGAGAAAAACTCAAGAAGGATAACCCCCCAAACTAATAAAATTGGTTACCTATGAGGGGCAGGGGAAATGAAGGATCATTTGGTTGTTGGGTTACATTCTTTAAAAATGTTCTTATTGATTTTGAGAGGAAGGGAGAGGGACTGAGAGAAATGTCAATGAGAGAAACATTGACTGGCTGCCTCCTGCACACCGCCTACTGAGGACTGGGCCCCAAAACCAGGCTGTTCCCTGATCAGGAATCAAATCAGTGACCTCTTGGTGCATGGGACAATGGTCAACCACTGAGCTAGGTTGGTTGGGTGGGTTACATTCTTGAAGGAAGCTACAGAGCTCTGACTGGGAAGGGTGAACTTCCTTGAGTATGTTTTGACTTTTTAAATCATGTTAATGGTCAATATGTTAAACAAAAGGGTGGGGGAGCCCTAGCTGGGTTGGCTCAGTGAATAGAGCATCGGCCTGTGGACTGAAGGGTTCCAGGTTCAATTCCGCTCAAGGGGGCATGCAGGAGGCAGACAATCAGTGATTCTCATCATTTATGTTCCTGTTTCTCCTTCCTCTTCTGAAATTAATAAAAATAAAAGATAATTTTTAAAAAGATGGAGGACATCTAAAATCTGAATATAGACATAAATAAACAAACCCAACTCTATTTTAGATGGATAAAAATAACATGGAAGGGGGAAATAGGACTAATTCAATTAACTTAAAAAAAAAAGGGCAAATCTTGAATTAGTAGGTTTGCTGTGGTGGCAAGGGCATGGCCATTCTGAAACTATTGGGTGTATTGTGGATTGAGCACATGAGTAAAATATGGATGGTAGGAGGCAGGGTTCTCACGAGGGAAGTAGGGAGAAGCAGAAATAGGATGAATGAAGTGAACACAAACTTTGTGGGGATTAGGATGGGAAGCATAGAATTTATGGAAAAAATAAGATAGGTACCCTTACACATGCCTAGTTCCCAGATCTTGCTTTCTACACGTTTCATACAAAGGACCAGGACTCCTTGAAGAAATGGCTGGTTGCAGCCTGGGCAGGAGCAAGGAAGATAGCAGATAAGCTTGGGGTATTTTGTTGAGCTAGGAAAGAAGTACTAAAAAAAAATAAAATAAAATTATAAGGGCCACAAAGAAACACAAGAGCCAGCTTGAAGAAGCCAAATCTGGCACAATTTGAGCATCAAAAAAAGTTCAGTAATAGATGATAACTCACTGAATAAAAGAACCCATGCATTCATACTGTTAATAGATATACACATATATGCATATACACATAAGAAGAAGAAACATACAGGAGAAATAATTCGGCTATTCTTCAAAAATGTCCATGGCATGGGAGAGAAAGGTTGAGGAAATATCCCAGATTAAAGGAGGCTGAAGTGGCTAATAACTAAATGAAATACTTGATCCTGGCCTAAATTCAGGGGGGAAATTGCTATAAAAGATACTGATGAATTTGGAGTATAGGCTATAAAGTATTACATGCTTTATACTATACCTGAGTGTGATGACTGTAAATATGTAAGCATTTATGCATAGTAAATATACACTGAAGTATTATATGCAAAAGAATATGATACATGCAGCCTACTATTAAATAGTTCAAGTTTATAGATTATATGTAGGATGTGCCCAAAATGTATACAAACACTTTGAATAATTATAAAGGCAGTGTTTACTAAAATACATTTCATTTTCAAAATTGAGCTAATCAAATGTATACATTTTTTGGGGACACCATATATAGTCAGCAGAGCTCAAAGTTGCCAAGATGGTAAGCATAAATTCTACAAGTGGGTTATCCTATATAATAAAAGGCTAATATGCAAATTGACCGAATGGTGGAACAACTGGTCGCTATGACATGCGCTGACAACCAGGGGGCAGACGCTCAATACAGGAGCTTCCCCCTGGTAGTCAGTGCAGGCCCACGGGGGAGTGCTGCTCAGTCAGACGCCCTGAGCCGGGCTCATGGCTGGCGAGTGCAGCAGCGGTGACCAGAGCCTCTCCCGCCTCCACAGCAGCGCTAAGGATGTCTGACTGCTGGCTTAGGCCCGCTCCCCATGGGCCTAAGCCATCAGTCAGACATCCCCCAAAGGCTCCCGAACTGTGAGAGAGTGCAGGCTGGGCTGAGGGGACTCCCCCGCAAGTGCACGAATTTTGTTCACCAGCCCTCTCGTTAAGTATAATAGAATAGCAAGATCTATTTTCCATGGTTCTCAGACCCATGTAGTCTGACTGTAGGGGGGACAGCAACAGATAATGGTCACTGATGAAAGTATATACTGCATCCTGGTAAAGAGCCCCATCCTTTCAGAGTGTGGTGTCCTGAGTGGTCTATAACTGAGTCTTTAGTAAGCCAGTCCACTATACCAGGGACCAGGTTGATTTGTTGCAGTAAGAACACTCCATCTGAGACAGCAGCTACAATTGGAGTCACCAACCGATGAAGTTTACAAGAGTTCGCAGTCATTCTTCAGGATCCCATCGGATGCCTGCACAGGTCAGATTCCTGCCCATTCAAGTCTCCCAGCATGGTATCGATCTCTGCAATCCCCCCAGGGATGTGCTATTGCTTCCAGTTAAATATCTTGATAAGAAGTGGAAGTTGCAGGGGCTTTCACTTAGCCCTTCCTGCAATAATGTTCTCACTCCATGGGCCATCCCCAATGTGGGGATTCTGCCAGTTGCCACCAATATCTGTTCCAGTTATACCCTCAGGAACTTGGAAATAACCACAGAGTGGGACCATGAACCAGCTGATCCCTCTGTGAGTTGGGCTTGAGCTAAGACTCCCATCTGTTACTTGACCACTTTAAGCCCCCACTTTGATGGGCCGCAGTGGTATTTGGATCCTCGGAAATTAGTGTCAATTCAGAGCCAGTATCTAGTAGTCCTCGAAAAATGTGGGTATTTTCAATTCCTTCCTCAAGGAGACCGAACCTCCCTTCAGTCAGGGGGCTCTGGATCCATGCTGACAGGTCTATGAACTTGGAGAGACCATGGCTCTCCGCTGTGGTTGCTCAAGTCAGGATTTTGGCTACCAGAGCAAGTTTTTGTTTTTTTCACTCTTACATAGATCACTCAATGCTCCCTCTTTTTAAATTTATCTTTATTGTTGAAAGTTTTACAATGTCCCCCTCTTCCCCCCCATTCTTTAGCAGGCTGTGCATCTATTTGTTCTTAGGAACACGATGACAAACTAGCTGTTGCCAAAGATTACTGGGGCCAAGACATTCTGATTGCTGGTATGTCTCTGCTGCCCTTTCCAGCAGATGCACGCATCTTGTCTTTGGCCTCTGCTACTGCAGATTCTCATTATCCCCACTGACATCAGGGAGCCCATTTCGGAGGTGGCATCCTCTATGGTAATACTTGGCTTACACAAGCAGCAACAACAGAGCTTTTCAATGCTGCAGGTGTTTCCCTCACTAATGTATTTTTCAGTGCCCTAGTGAAGGAAGTGTCTCTTAGGCCTGGTGGAATATCCTTAGGGGATGAGTATGTTGATTTCACATGATAAAAATGCTCCAATATTCCTATCTCCCTAAGCCTTTGGGTTTTCTACTCCACACCATGGCAGGGAAGTTCTGGCATTTCAACTTCATTAAAAGTAGATCACTGTCAAGTTCCATTTTCAGTCAACTTACCAAGCAAACTGTGAGAGCCACCTCCATCCAGCTACATGAACACACACATTAAATCCAGGCCCCTGCAGGTGCTCCCATATCAATGAATTCACCCAACTTAATGCTGCATTTTGCTCTATTTGGCCGAACACTCTTGGTATCCCTTTCCACACATATCCCCTGGGTTTCTGCTGACATATATTAGCAAAGTCTTCCAATTCTTTTGCTGTGTGTAACTTCCTCCTGGGTTATAGTTTGTACCTAATCTTCTGGAGCACACTGAGATTCGACCCTTGTCAGGAGTCTAATGGCAACAGTGGGAGTGATCTTAAGGAGGAGGCTCATCCCCAGGAATCTGTCCAGGATGAGGTTATCACAGGGTTTCCAAGGAAGGAACACAGTCCCCTCAGACATTGGAAGGCAAGATACTTCTGGTCTGAGAGGCTCAGAATATTTGAGTATTTAAGGTTTTCAGGTTCAACATGGTTCATAAGACATCCCTATTCCAGCCCTGGCTGGATAGCTCAATTGGTTAGAGCGTCCTCCCAATATACCAAGGTCGTGGGTTCAATCCCGGTCAGGACACATACAAGAATCAACCAATAAAATCAATAAAAAAGTTCTTTTTTAAATAATACAAATAGCCTGGCCAGTGTGGTTCAGTGGTTGAGCATCGACCTATGAACCAGGAGGTCACAATTTGATTCTCAGTCAGGGCACATGCTCAGGTTGCCTGCTTGATCCCCAGTAGGGGTTCTCATCATTGTGCAATGATTCTCATCATTGTGTGTGTGTGTGTGTGTGTGTGTGTGTGTGTTTTAATATATCTTATTGATTTCAGAAAGGGAGAGGGAGAGAGGGAAATATCAATGATGAGAGAGAATCATTGATCCACTGCCTCGTTCACGCCCCACACTAGGGATTGAGCCTGCAACCAGGCATGTGCCCTGACCGGGAATAGAACCGTGACCTCCTGGTTCATAGGTTGACACTCAACCACTGAGCCACGCTGGCCAGGCTCATCATTGATGTTTCTGTCTCTCCCTCTCCCTTCCTCAGAAATCAATAAAATTAATTTAAAAAATAATAATACGGCCCTGACCGGTTTGGCTCAGTGGATAGAGCGTCGCCCTGCGGGCTGAAGGGTCCCGGGTTCAATTCCGGCCAAGGGCATGTACCTTGGTTGCAGGCACATCCCCGGTCGGGAGTATGCAGGAGGCAGCTGATTGATGTTTCTCTCTCATCGATGTTTCTAACTCTCTATCCCACTCCCTTCCTCTCTGTGAAAAATCAATAAAATATATTTAAAAAATAATAATAATAATACGAAAAGAAAAAATTTAAAAAGACATCCCTGTTCCAAGTTTCAGAATCCCATTATTTTCCCAATCAGTGCACAAAATTACACATAAGAAAGTTGTGAAATTGTGAATTTAATAGTCATTGTAATGTATAAACTCTCAGAATTAATTTTTTAAAACAGTGTAATTAACCCTTAGCTGGTTTTGCTCAGTGGATAGAGCGTCGGCCTGTCGACCGAAGGGTCTCCTGTTGGATTCTGGTCAGGGGCACATACCTTGGTTGCAGGCTCCTCCCCTGCCTGGGGCCCTGGTCAGGGCTTCTGCAGGAGGCAACCAATCGATGTGTTTCTTTCACATCGACATTTCTCTGTGTTTTCCTCTCTCTTCTTCCACTCTCTCTAAAAACCAATGGAAAAATACCCTCGGGTGAGGATAAATAAATAAATAAAACAGTGCAGTGGTGGCATAATTAACAGACAATAAATTGCATGTATTTAAAGTGCAAAATTTTATGTTTTGACATGTGTGCACCCATGAAACCATCATAGTAGTGAACATATCTGTCCCCCCCAAAGTTTCCTTGTGACGCTTTGTAAATTTTCCCTTTTGCCCCTTCTTCCAGTCCCCAACCACCCTCCAACCTCTTTTCCAGTCACCCCCTTCAGAACACCTCAGTCTCCGAGACCAGCCAACACTGTTTTTGACCTAACTTCTTATTGTCAGACAACCATGAGCTCCCAAATTCGTTAGAATTATTCTATTGAGGTGGAGACCGCCATCATTCACCTGGTCACCCTGCATCTGCAACCTCCAACACCTACCTCTGTCTGAGCTATTTTGACCATGACAATGTGGCTCTGGAGGGCGTGGTCCACTTCTGCGAGTTGGGAGCGCACAGCATCTCTTAAAGATGCAAAACCAGCCCTGGCGGGTTTGACTCAGTGGATAGAGCATCGTCCCACGGACTGAAGGGTCCTGGGTTTGATTCCAGTCAAAGGGAGGTACCTCGGTTGCAGGCCTCAATCCCTGGCCCCTGTTGGGATACATGCGGGAGGCAACCAATCGATGTGTCTCTTTCACATCAATGTTTCCGTCTCTTCCCCTCCCTTCCACTCTCTGAAAAATCAATGGAAAAATATCCTCGGGTGAGGATTAACAACAACAAAAAAGATGCAAAACCAGTGAGGTGGCCGAGTTCTCTTGCTGAAGCCTTCCCAAGGTGAGTGGGGTAAAACTCAGGACGCTGTGGAAGCCCCCATGGTCATGGAGAAAACCTAAACCTAAATGAGGCCCTTTGGGATCTGCATGCCTTGGGTTCTACCCGTGCAGACCCTCAGCTCTGTGACTTCCTGGATAACCACTTCCTGGAGAAGGTGAAACTCAAGAAGATGGGCAACCACCTGACTAAGCTCTGCAGACTGGCCAGCCCCCAGACAGGGCTGGGCGAGTATGTCTTTGAAAAGCTCACCCTCAAGCATGACTAGGAGGCTTTGGAGCCCAGAGGACTTTGAGGGCCCCTCTGCACTCCCCTAATGTCTGGCTTTTGCCTGAGCCTCTCCCTGAAACCACTAGGCATCCTTTTAACTCCCTGGAGCCCTCTCCCAGGCATTGGACCAAATGGAAATAATAAAGCTTTTTGCAGCAACACACACACACACACAAAACAAATAAACAAACAACAGTAAAACTTTAGCACTGCTAAGATATCAAACTACTATGTGGTAGGATATGTCTATTTCTCACAAAAATTCTTGTAATTTAAGATTAAGCCCACAAAAGCAAATGAAGTTTACAATTGACATTACTAGTTTAATATCCAATATAATAAAAGGGTAATATGCAAATAGACTGAACAGCAGAACAACCGAACAACCAATCAAAGTGCAATATGCTAATGATATGCTAAGGCTGCTCAACCGCTCACTATGACCACCAGGGGGCAGACAGTCAACTGGTCAAACAGTCGCTATGACATGCACTGACCAACGGGGGGGGAGGGGAGATCTCTCAGCCTGGCCTGCGCCCTCTCGTTATCTGGGACCCCTTGGGAGATGTCGGAGAGCCAGTTTCAGCCCAATCCCGCAGACCACTCCCCTTGGGAGGGCACCAGATGCAGGGCTCATGGCTGGCGGGTGCTGCTGTGGCAGCCAGCGCCAGTCTCTCCTGATCAGGACTGAATGGGTGCGAGCCCGCAGCAGGCACAGTGGGGCCGGAATGAGCGGGAGCAGCAGGTAGGAGCTGCAGGCAGCATTGGATTGCGGATTTCGGCCCAATCCCTGCAGGCCACCCAGAGGGACCCCACCTGTGCACGAATTCGTGCACCAGGCCCCTAGTATAATAGATTCAAATAATTCTGCAGAGTAGCTGCTGATGAATAATCCAATTAATATTTATAGGTTTAAACCCCTTACATTTCCACAAGCTTTGTAAATTTGTCCAATTAAAGCTTTTTCTGCTGCACATACATATTTACCAACATTGGTTGTAACATTTCTAAGCAGTTTGTACTGAATTCAGTATTTTTTCAATATCTTTAAAAATATTCTTGCCCTGGCTGGTGTGCTCAGTGGTTAGACAGTCAGCCCTGCACACTGAAGAGCCACCAGTTTGATTCCCAGTCAAGGGCACATACCTGGGTTGCAGGTTTGATCCCCTGCCCAATTGGGGCACAGGAGGCAACCAACAGATAGATGTGTCTCTCTCACATCAATGTTTTTTTCTCTCTCTTTCTCTCCCTCCCTCCTTTGCTTACACTCTCTCTAAAAATCAAAGGAAAAAATATCCTCAGGTGAAGATTAACTGTATGTATATGTATATGTATATGTATATGTATATGTATATGTATATGTATATGTATATGTATATATAGATACAGATGTATATGTATATGTATGTATATATATGTATATGTATGTATATATATTTGTGTGTGTGTGTGTGTGTGTATTCTTGCTTGTAGTTATTCCACTGGACTATTGATACAGGCTAATTCTTGAATCAATTAAAACTCATAATTGATTCTTCAAATAAACACTAACATTAGTACTGGTATCATCTGTTAAATTATCAAGAGTCAAGAAAAACCACTTGAAATCATTCACCTGTTTTTATTTTTATTTAAAAAAAATATATATTTTATTGATTTTTTACAGAGAGGACGGGAGAGGGATAAAGAGTTAGAAACATCGATCAGCTACCTCCTGCACACCCCCAGCTGGGGATGTGCCTGCAACCAAGGTACATGCCCTTGACTGGAATCAAACCCGGGACCCTTCAGTCCGCAGGCCAGCGCTCTAGCCACTGAGCCAAACCGGTTAGAGCCATTCACCTATTTTTAAGTTGTTCTTGTTGTTGTTTACAACTTTTTCAGTTCTTTGAGCAACTGTTCTCACTTAGTGGCTAACAGTCTTAAGTTTTATTTTCTCTGAACACATTTCTTTGGCTATTGCAATCAAATATGATTTAATGAACTCACCATCAGTAAATAGGGTTCCTTGTCTAGTTAGCAAATCAGCTACTTAGACTTGGTTGAAGTCTCTCTTTTTCATTTTTTATTTTTGT